GAGAGATACGGCTCTGCATGGAGGTTAGTGGTTTAAACGCTGCCTGTGGAAATCGTGTGCCTCGTAAAAAAGAAAAGAAAGTACGCAAAAAGTGTACGGTGGAACAATTTGAAAATACACTGTTGTTCTTGCCCTTCTCGTTCTTTGAAATTATTTGTTTTCCAAGGGGATCTTTTATATACCCCTAATTCCACATACGAACCGACATAGATTGGCCAGCAGTCAAGGTAACGTGCACTCAATCAGGAAAGGATTTGACTTGTGTGCTTGTTAGGCAGAGGATTGTGGATAGAGAGTAAGAGTTACCCTTGGGGGGGGGGATGAAACAGACCTGCATCAGCTCCTTGTGTTGTTCCGGTTCTGCTTCTATGAGCTGGCGAATTTGATCGNATTTGATCGTTATAGTGCTCGGAAATGACTGACTCCACAGCCACTGTACAGGCCATGGCAGCTCGCTTGCCCAACAGGGCAGTCCCGACGCCCAAAGCAAATCCGGCCACATTCCACAACGGTAGGAGAGCCGTGGGTCGAACACGGTGTTTCGGGATAAGCTCTTCGAATTTCTTCAAATGAACTGCTTCCTGTTCTTGCATTTCCTGTACCGATAAAAAACAAATGGTTAGACAAGGACAAGGAAGATTTTGAATAGGCAACAGATACATCTACCATATTTACATCTCCCAAAGATCCGACAAGTTGAACACAAAGGTCTACGGGAGATGCAGGACTACAAGAGCTGTATAGAAAGTATCTTGAATGTTTAGATTAGCCCAGTCGATTTCTTTTGTCCACAGGCACCAGGCCCTGTTGATGACCTTGGGTATGTGTCGTGTTGCTCAGGAGTAAGGGTTTAAAGTCCCGACCCGAAGGTTCGTGGTTTGAGTCCTGACAGGGACACAAAACGCATGCACAGATGACGAGACTTAAACAGGGCGAAACAGTGATCTTTGTCGATCATCGAAACGATTTTCGTCGCGTTTAAGTATCTTGAATTCTGATTGTGCTCACTATTTACTTGTGCATTAACAATAATCTTTTTACTGTATACATTCATGAATAGGTACAAAGGTACCTATCTGATAAACTAAACTAAATTACCGAGATAACCGGAGTCACAGTAGGAATGCTCGTACTGTTGTAGCATCCAACTGAAGGGTGACAGTACGTTACTGAATAACTTGCATCAACAGTTCAAGGCAGCTTTGGTTAGAACATTTCTTGTCGTGCTGTTAAGATCGATAGTAATTACTGGGGTGGTAGGGGACTTCATGTCGAAAACGGAAAACAAAGCAGACAATTTAACTGTCCCTGCAATTGTGGTGACAATTACACTGACAGAAAAAATCCGCCCATGATCAAACGAACGTCCCAGCACATTCCCGAATTGTGGTTACAGTCTATGAGTAACCACGATTCAAAAGATCAACTTGGTCACATACTGACCACCCGACAGATCGGTAACCCGAATTGCTATTGTGTAATCAGAATTCCTATTTTATGCAAACAAGTTTCTGACGTATTCAATCAAACTACCGTAGGACTGATTGTGGAACTCTCACTTCTCATTTATCCCAAGACATATTCATCAAACCGCCGTGCAAAGCAAAAACTAACTTGCATAAACATATCAGTACACGCTGAAGCGACTGAACAGATTGAATAATATAAACATCTCACATTTTGGGGATTGTGTTTCCAACAGAATGTCTAACGCAAACAGACACTGCTATCTTCATACAAAAATAAATCACCTCCGATAGAAATTCGAATGGAAAACTAAATCGGAGCAACTTCGACAAGCAAGTATTTTGTCGCGAACTCGAGTGAAACAAAATCGGTAAGCCTGAATGTGGCTCGGGTTGCTCGTATACCATGCGAAATGAAACGGTCCTGTACATCCTCCATCAAGATCAGAGAGGACAGAAACAAGCGCTACACGACAAGAACCTTTGTAATTCAAAATGTAACCCGAAGGATGAAACCATTATTGATTGAGCCTCGAGAAGAGTTCAGAATCGTCTGAGTCTCACGATAAAGAGCCGACAGTGTAACCCAAACGAGGTGCAATGCGGTAGTGATTAGGCTAATTGCTCCGTAGTTTTCATAAGGGGGTCTATCTCTGTTCGTGTAAATCGGTTATCTCACCGGCTTATACGAATTATCCCCTTAGTTGATTCCGGTTTTGTCAACTCTGACGCTATCAGCATGAGACGATAGTCGTTGGAATTGGAGACGGGAGAAAGCACAGAACCTTCAGAATCTGATAAATATATTTCATCGAAGAGAAAAATAGAATGTGTCTAGGTGAAACTACCGTATGGACGCATATTCTCAAGATAGGAGAAATAAGGTCTAAATATGTCAACCAGATCATCGGGTGATAAACCAAAGGGAGAAATAATTAAAATTTTCGGTGACCTGTGTGATGCTGTGACCTGATGAGTCATACTGGATGAACATTGCGGGCAGAAATGCTAGTAACTAACGGATGGGCAAGGATAAGCCGCAGGGGACCAGCCCGGTTGTTTATCAACAGCTCCTCGTTCGACTAATCACGTTTGCTCCCGATACGGTAAATAGCAAATCAACTTAGAGAAACAGTATGCGAGAAATAGGAGAGGAGTGCTGTTGTTTGTTGTCGCCAGGAAGACCATTATTCATTATGCGAGTGACGACGAGCAGGTGGTGCAAGCAGCCCGCCCAAATTACCATTATGACTGTTCATTAGGCACCACAAACTTGGCATCCTCAGGATTGCGACTAGTAGTGTTTTGTCGACGCTCTATTTGTTTCATTCGTCATGTGGAACTGATAGCCAACCCTCGAAAAAAGGACCAAAAGCCGGCACACAAACGAGGACCACACACGATAAACTGCCAAACGGTGATAGCTTTGTGTTTAACTAGCAAAACACCGACTTGTGGGTAAGACTTCAGAGGCAAAGGTTTCGCCTGACACTAAACGAAAACCCCTCGGTTACTGTGATCTCATGCAGCATAACGAGCTATCTAAATTCTCATACACCGCTGTCAGAACTTAAAAGGAGGATTTCCGATGACACATGATTTCAGTCAAATTCATGTGGAGCGTTAACATGAGTCCTTAATAAACTGTTCGCTCGTATCGATAAATTTTGTCAACCACCACTCCGGTTCGCTAATCATCATCATCATCATCATCATCGTACAGCGAAATACAGTGAGGCTAACTTCACTGACCGCTGCCAAACTCGCAATGCATACAAGGTTAGTGGTAAAATTTAAGGTGGACAGGGATTGGACCTACTTTCAACGAGGAGGAAGAACGTGAATGTCTATGGTCAACACAGAGTACGCAATCGAACTCTGCATACATACCGTTTCAAGCATTCTGATCTGATAAGAAACGACAACAAGAACGCCACTGCTGTCGGTTCGCTGTCATATCTTTCAATGTCTCCAACCAACCAGTTGTAGTAGTAGTTTTTCGGACCCCAACCTGGAAGGCGAGAGACACCTACTCTACCTAATGGCTCTGTGTATTTCTTCATGACTCGTCTCTACGTCATCTGTTGACCTCCACGTGGTTTTCCCCAGCCCGGATTAACTACAGAGAATAAAGCGCGGTGCAGCAGACAACAGCTGGGCATAAGCAATAAGTGCCTTAGCCAGCGAAGCCTAGTAATCTGAATTTGGTGCTGGCAGGTTTATCCCTGATAGACTCCCAAAACACACGACGGCTTACCTTCACGTTACTAACCCGTTCGCTCCATCCAACATGGACTAAACTGCGTAAACACCGATAATGGAAAAATTCTAGTCGACGAATATCTTCTACTCGCAAATTTAAGGTCTCAACCATAAAGCAGGACTGAACGAACGCTAGCACAATATACACTACCTTTCAACTTCAGTGAAACGACGCGCCTACGCCAAAGGTGTTTCAGTCCTGCGTATGCTGCTCTAGCCTTGGAAATGCGGGCGGTTATCTCCTTTGCTACACCACCGTCATTGGTCACGCAACTACCTAAGTAGGGAAATTAATCCACCATAACTAAATCCTGACCATTTTGTTTCAGAGCGGGAGTAGACGAAACCCAGTCCTGCAGCATCACTGCACTTTTAAGGTGCGAAGCACATACCGAATGTGGCTGCTGCAATTGTTAGTCTATCAAGTGCGCTTTGAGCGTCCTCCATACATTCAAACAGACAGACGATGTCATTGGCGTACTGAAAATCGCACAGCTTTTCTCCAGCTGTCCATTCAATACCTACATTTTGGAGTCCCCTTAGTGCGCTCTCCAGTATTTCGTCTACGACAAAATTGAACAGGAACGGCGAAAGAGGGCACCCTTGACGAACGCCGCTACTGGTGAGGAACAGCCTACTTAGTTCGTTGTAGACCCTTACATGACCGGAGGTGAGTACAGTGACCTCAGTAGGTTAACGTATTTCTGGGGCATTCCTTTTCGAAGAAGGGCATCCCATCAGAGCTTCGCAGTTAACTGAGTCGAAGGCTCCGTTCAGGTCAAGGAACACTGCGATCGTTGGCCGACGGTGGATATGACGTAGCTTAAGGATCTGACGCAACGTAAAAATCTGATCAATACATCCACGGCCAGGTCGGAATCCGGCTTGCTGTTCACGGATGTTCTTTCTTAAAGGCGTCAGACTTCAAAGTATAACCGAAGTTAGCACTTTGGTGATGATCGGGATCAAACTTATCCCGCGGTGGTTTTCGCTATCGTTGCGGGATCCTTTCTTGAAAATGGGAACGATCAGTGACTCGCCCCAAGATGAAGGAATGTGTGGTTTGCTAAGACGGGTATGCTGAAACGTTCTCGCTTTTGGTAAGACGGTTTTCTTTCTTTCTTTTTTCATTTTACTCTACTTCTTTTTATTAAGTAGATAATGACACCACATTCATGGGGGGGGGTGTCATACAACACTGAATGGGCAAAGTTAGGTGATGGTGGGATTGGAACACACGTCCCCACAGAGTGATAATTTGGTAGCCTTTAACACTCGATCTTTTGAATCTTTTGAATTCTAGCTCGTAAGACTGGAAACAATTCTGAAGTGAGCTGGCCGGAAGCGATGGAAAAATCAATATAAACCAATCAGATAGAACAGAAGAAACTGCTGCCTTTTGGCTCACCTTGATTACCGGGCCAACATTTGATCTGCCCAGAACTAGCAATTGACCCTGGTATATTCGCTTTGCTCCCAACTCACCCGCATGATCCACGCGGATAATGCGATCCAGTAACGGAGATCGTAGAACAGCTCGCGAGGTAGACATACTCTTAAATGATAAGCTAAAATAAGAAATAAATTTTAATAGACAGTTGAAATACACCAACTTAAAAAAAAGCAAGTAAAGCGGAAGAAGCATTCAACGTAAATGTTATTGCCCGAAAGTAAGAGACCTGTAAAAGTTGCGATTCCCACCTGGGTAGCAGAGGCCCAATTCCAGACCCAAGAAACGCTCTAATGGAGTGCGTCTCTTTCAGTAGTTCCGAAGGACGTGTCTCTTGTTGCCTTTTTCGAGTGGTTTTTGAATGCAATCAAGAGTAGAAAGGCTAATATCCTTGCTAAAGGGCCGCGTGCAGCTAGCTGATCGAAGAAAGCAGCCAAGCTCACATTCCGCATTCATTAGGCAGAGGCCTGAGAACTGGTAGTGAAGAATACCAAAATAACCGAATGAAGCGACCGCAGTTGTCTCAACCTGATCACCTTGGCGTGGTGTGATGGCTTGCGTGCCTCCATGACCCTGCGAGCTATACGGGATGGCTCCTCACAGCCACGGACCTAATCATACCTGGAAGGTCAATGGGTAGCTGATTGGACACCCCCTAGCTTCCCTTGACTCCAGTCCCTGGAGAGGTCACTCCAGGAAAAAAGGGGGGCAGTTTGCCGACCAAAATACCCGCTAAATGGACGTAGGAGCGGAGTACCTGGGACTTCCTCCTGATGGTAGAAGTCTTCACACTTCACTGGAGAGCCACCACCCGCCAAAATTGGGCAGCCCCCAGGCAATAAAGTGGTCCCGTTTACGTTCCGCTTGTCTCACTGGATGCATGAGGCTAAGGGCCGATCCCGAAAAGCGGACCGACATCCAACGCACCAGCGAACAACACAACCGAAATTCAAAGGCTTTGCGTGACAGATCTCCAGAAGCTCCCACACTGGTGCTCCGTTTACGCTTCCGCGTTGGATCTACGCCCCACTGCCTTGTGGTTCAGACTTTTGAGTAGAAGGCTCCAGTTAGGGTTCCCGAAGAAAAACCCAAAAAATCCTGCTGCCTTGCGGGTCAGACTTGAGTCAAGGGCTTCGACTATGGTTCCCAAAGAAAAACACACAAAATTCCGCTGTCCTGCGGGTGACTTTGAATCAAAGGCTCCTGTGAGGGTTCCCAAAGAAAAACCCCTTCGTCGGTGTGGGCAACCGCGAAGTATGCCGTGCCCCAAAGTCCTAGGTACCCACTTGGAGACCCATCTTTCTCAACTGTCCACTTTCTCTTCTCACTTCCAAACATAAGGCGACGCATTCTGTTTGCGCCACCCTTGGCATATCAATTAGCGTTTAACTAATGATGTCAACGACTCAAATTTTTGAAAATCTCCTCTTCACTTAGCCTCATTTAATGTCCGCACACTCTACCAGATCGGTCAATAAGCTGCTTTAGCTAGAACCCTTGAAACCCATTGAGACCTTATGTGGTTTACCACTCCAAGTCTCAGGGTTGGGTTGTCGATTCTTCTCTCATACCACTTATGAATAACACAAATCACATAATGCGCACTCTACCTACGAATTCACAAAACTCCAGAGCCCTCACCAACATTCGTAGTTTAAATTGAAACGTTAATTCTGCAAACCACTTTCTCCAATCTTTTGCCTCCTTGGCTTCACTTTTGACGGAGACACAAATCTCCCCCTCATCAGACATTATTCATCTTCAGTTCCCTAATTACTTCCTCCATTCTTCTTTTCTCTCTAAAGCTGGTGTCTGCACCTATATCCATCATTCTGCCGCTTCTTCCCAACTTTCACACTTAGACTTCACTAACCGTGAATTTCAGCTTATGTGGCTAAAACTTCGATTCCCTTCGTTCAAACATTATTTTTTTTACTGTTAACCGCTCCCTGAGCAGCAGTGATTCTTCTATTTTCGATATCCTACTTTCAAACATTAAGACACGAATGTTGGCAGATTCTAATAGCCAAATTATCACTGTCGGATGTTTCAATTTTTTATTACACACATTTGTGTGGTGAACAGCAGACGGAGCGAACCCCATGGTCAAGAAAATCCGCTACTCCGTCATGGAAACCAGCAAACTAAGCCCCGGGACTTGAAGTGGCGAATCACCTAAGGCCCCGATAGGTTAGGCGTGGTATTGAACAACAAGGAATGGCTGAAGCACTCCTCAGACACTACATTCATGGGACGCGAAGCCGAGGCTTTTGCTGTGGTCAACTAGTTGACCTCCACACAAGCATCCCTGATCGGATTGGTGACCGCACCCACACCTTTGAGCTCATTCTCACATCCATTCCCTCTTCTTTCTCCAATATGACTTCCCTTTCCCAATTAGGCTCATCGGAACATTGTGGCATTTTCTTTCTCACTCATTTCTCTCACTCTATATCACTACCTAACTCCAGACGTACCTTTTGACGTTACGACTCAGCCAACTGGGACGGTTTTCATGACTTTCTGGCTTGTTTTCCCTGGAAGACTTGTCATCTCAAATCTGATGTTTCCACGTCTGTTTCAAACTTCATGGAGATTGTCCTTCAAGGTATATATTCCACACTTATCCATTCCCGACAAGCCACGATCCCCTGAGTGGTTTACTCATGCTTGTAACCGTTCTGTACGTTTTAAAACTCTGCATTCCGTCGCTGGCACCACTCACCCAATCCAGCATTACGCAACCGCTTCGTGAACCCAACGAAAATGCAGAGGTCTTTGCTTCCCGGTTTGCCTCCAACGCCACCTAACACGCCTCTACTATTCAACCCTCCTCCTACACATCCAGTCACTCCTCTCTACGTATCATAACAACCAGGAATATCCACCAAACTCTTCGCGGTTTGGATGTTTGTAAACCACCCAGTCCGGACGGTATTCCACCTGCCGTCCTAAAAATGTGTGCCCCGGAGTTAGCCCCTGTTCTACGCTGCCTTTTCTGCTATTCACTCAAACTCAAGTCTTTCCCTACTCCATGGAAAAATGCTATTATTTTTCCAATCCCAAAGCGCGGCGACCCTTCCGACCCCAACAACTACCNTACTCTTACAGTTGCAATCTCGAAAGTGTTTGAAACCATTATCTCCGACCAACTGCGTACGTTTCTCGAACGCGAAAGTTTGATAATTCACCGTCAGTATGAATTTCGCCCCCGTCGATCTATGGGTGACTTACTAGCGCTCAAATCACACTCCTGGTCGGCTGCACTCGATAACCACGGAGAAACTCACATGGTCTCGCTCGACATTTCAAAGGCCTTCGACCGCGTTTAGCATGAAGGTTTCCTGTTGACATTACCCACGTTCGGATTCTACCCGTCTCTGGTATCGTGGCTTCGTTGTTTCCTCTGCAGGCGAACCATCTTCATCCGAGTAGATGGGGTCCTATTTCGGCCATTTTCTGTAAACGCCGGTGTTCCCCAAAGTACCCTACTTTCGTCCACCCTTTCTTTTATTTAACAACGATCTTTTA